ATTGAAAATCAAAGGATGAGCTAAATAAATTAACAAAGAAAGAACAAAAAAAAGCAAGCATAATAAAAACAAAAAGTAAAAAGAGCTTTATTGTTTTTAATTAGTTTTTATCATTCAAAATATCACAATCCAAAACAAAGAAACTGTTTTTACCTAAGTTAAAGTGTCAAATTTGAGAGATTAATGCAATTTGCTAAACCAGAACCTAGGCCTGATACACCTTTGTCACCAATTTTATTACTACTTTTTAAATATTGAAGAAAAAATATATCATAAAATAGTTAATTAGAAGGAAAAAATGAAGAAAAAATATGAAATAGTAAGATTAATTAATTAATAATAAAGTAAAAATTTGAAAATCAAAGGATGAGCTAAATAAATTAACAAAGAAAGAACAAAAAAAAGCAAGCACAATAAAAACAAAAAGTAAAAAGAGCTTTATTGTTTTTAATTAGTTTTTAAAATTCAAAATATCACAATCCAAAACAAAGAAACTGTTTTTACCTAAGTTAAAGTGTCAAATTTGAGAGATTAATGCAATTTGCTAAACCAGAACCTAAGCCTGATGCACCTTCGTCACCAATTTAATTACTACTTTTTAAATATTGAAGAAAAAATATATCATAAAATAGTTAATTAGAAGGAAAAAATGAAGAAAAAATATGAAATAATAAGATTAATTAATTAATAATAAAAGTAAAAGTTTGAAAATCAAAGGATGAGCTAAATAAATTAACAAAGAAAGAACAAAAAAAAGCAAGCACAATAAAAACAAAAAGTAAAAAGAGCTTTATTGTTTTTAATTAGTTTTTATCATTCAAAATATCACAATCCAAAACAAATAAACTGTTTTTACTAAAGGTTAAGTGTCAAATTTGAGAGATTAATGCAATTTCCTAAACCAGAACCTAAGCATGATGCACCTTCGTCACCAATTTAATTGTAACTTTTTAAATATTGAAGAAAAAATATGAAATAGTAAGATTAATTAATTAATAATAAAGTAAAAATTTGAAAATCAAAGGATGAGCTAAATAAATTAACAAAGAAAGAACAAAAAAAAGCAAGCATAATAAAAACAAAAAGTAAAAAGAGCTTTATTGTTTTTAATTAGTTTTTATCATTCAAAATATCACAATCCAAAACAAAGAAACTGTTTTTACCTAAGTTAAAGTGTCAAATTTGAGAGATTAATGCAATTTGCTAAACCAGAACCTAGGCCTGATACACCTTTGTCACCAATTTTATTACTACTTTTTAAATATTGAAGAAAAAATATATCATAAAATAGTTAATTAGAAGGAAAAAATGAAGAAAAAATATGAAATAGTAAGATTAATTAATTAATAATAAAGTAAAAATTTGAAAATCAAAGGATGAGCTAAATAAATTAACAAAGAAAGAACAAAAAAAAGCAAGCACAATAAAAACAAAAAGTAAAAAGAGCTTTATTGTTTTTAATTAGTTTTTATAATTCAAAATATCACAATCCAAAACAAAGAAACTGTTTTTACCTAAGTTAAAGTGTCAAATTTGAGAGATTAATGCAATTTGCTAAACCAGAACCTAAGCCTGATGCACCTTCGTCACCAATTTAATTACGACTTTTTAAATATTGAAGAAAAAATATATCATAAAATAGTTAATTAGAAGGAAAAAATGAAGAAAAAATATGAAATAATAAGATTAATTAATTAATAATA